TTCTTCTTGTTCCTTTTGTCTCACGGGCGTATAGATATCTGCTTATGTGCGTGCGTGCTCGCCGCGCGTATATGAGGCTACCTGTTATCTTGCGTGCCGTGCTCGCCGGCGCGTATCGCTATCTGTTATGTGCCGTGCGTTCTCCGGGCGCTATAGGATCTCTGTTATGTGCTGCTGCGTGCTCGGCGCGCGTTATAGGACCTGTACTGGTTGCTCCGTATGACGAAGTGCGTGCGTCTGCGCGCGGGGTATAGGTACCTGTTATGTGCCGTGCCGGCCATCGCGCTGCGATTTATCGCGGCGAAGGTTCTGTTATGTGGCGTGGCGTGCTCTGCGCGGTAGCTATAGTACTGTTACTGTGCGTGCGCTGTCTCGCGCGGCGTATATAAGTTCTGTATGGTGCGGCGTCTCGGTATATATGCTTTGTTTCGTGCGTGCGTGCGCATACTATGCGTTGCGGCGTGCTTGGTGCGCGAATTTTTTGAACACTGCCTTGTGTACCCGTCGCATCTTACTTGAAGCAACGGCACGTTGAAATTGCGTGTTTAGAACTCCACGATAAAATGCGTGTTTTTCATCGCGTTCCACGACCGTGTTGATACGGCACGGTCTCGACTTGCGCGGATGGGTATTAACGCTGCCCGCCGTCGGCAAATTGTTCACGTCTCTATATCTTCCCGTTGAACGGAATATGCTAAGTTTGTAATGTTTTATGGACGGCCATTTTGAATCCGGCCCTTGATCACATGCATCACGTTGTTGTATGAAATAGTAACCCAAATACGTCTGTCAGAAATTTTCACAGTGCTGCTATGAAGCATTATTAAGCCGAGATATAGGCTATTTTTTAAGAAATGACGGCGGCCATTTGAATTCAAGATGTGGCCGAAAACGGCCCTTGGATCACAATGCATCTACGTGTTGTATGAAATAGTAACGCCCAAATTAACGTCTGGCAGTCAATTTTCAAGTCTGCTACGAAGCATTATTAACCGAGATATAGCTATTTTGTAAGAAATAGACGGCGGCCATTTTGCAATTCAAAGATGGCGCGCCGAAAACGCCATTGGATTCACATGCCCATCAGCGTTGCTTGTGATTGAAATAGAACCCAAATTACGTCCTGTCAGTCAATTCTTCAAGTCTGTACGAGATTACTTAACCGAGATATAGCTATTTTTAAGAAATGACGCGCGCCAATTTTTAATTCAAGATGGCGGCCGAAGTTGGTAGTTGCGATCGCGTTGTGTCCTGCTTTTAAAATTGAAAGAGCATACCAAAAAGTATGCAAGTGCTACAATTTTCATACTTTTTTTCACAATTTGAACGATTTTTCCTAATCTTACTGTACTAATATTATAGTATTGTATATGACGGTGGCCTAATGCCATCTATATAGTATTGTAGTATAATGTATGCTGGCGGGCCCACCAAGGCCACGTGTATAAAGTATTGTATAAGTATTGTGTATGAAGGGGCATAAGGCCTTCTATATAGTAGTGGCGTAAGGCCTTGCGTTGTAGCTATACTGCCTCCAGCTAAGAAAAGTAGGCTGCATCACTTGCACAGTGTATATATTGCGCCAGCGGGCGCCTAGGCCACACTTGGATGTGGATATCTGTCGCCCTGCCACGTGTGCTGTCAGTTAAGAAGTGTCGCCATCTTGTCGTCAAGTAATGTGACTACATTGAAATTGGATTGGCATGTGATACCCGTTATAGTGCCTTGGATCTTTATAGGCAGGCCATGACATAGGAAACGGATGGTCTTTACCAAACAGTAGAAATTGACACAAGCAATTTATTGTAAACTATTTGTGCAACTTATTGTAAGATTATTGTGCAGATATTGTTGTTAGTAATCTGCCTCATTAGGCGCGGTTCACACTGGCGCGAATAAGCGGGATGCAAATCCCGGTTTTTGCATCGCGCGATCGAAATACCGAGAATTATTACAAGTGTGAACGCAATAATACCTCACTAATAATCGCTCAGCATCGCGCTCCAAATCGCATTAGATTATTCGCAAAATGCGATTATTTGGGGTGTGAACGCTCGCGCCAAATAATCCGGTATTTTCTATCCCATCATTATCAAGCGAGTGAGCAGTGATATATGCGGCAGTGAGCATCATTCCGGCAGTGAGCATGCGCAGTTCTATACATAGAATTATCCGCCCGCTCGCGATTAGCGCGATTATTCGCCTGTGTGAACAACGACACAATTATCTCGCGTATTTCATCGCGATTAGCATCGCGGTTTTTCTTGTGTGTGAACGCGGCCTATTATGAGAACTCCGGATGCGCCAGTATTTGATGCTTCAGCAGTGCGTTCAGTTGATTATCAGTTTAGTATATTAGGTAACTGATAGGTTAGCGACAAGTGTGGAGTGGAGCATGCATACGCGGATACGAATAATTGTTTCAGAAACAGAAGCACACACTACGCAGAGCCAGTCAATATTAAAGAAAGTTGCGCGATTGCTAGCGATAGATTCATTATTCACTAAAAAGAAAATTGGTTTAATTGTAAAAAAAAAATTGAAATAGATTAATTGTGAAATCACCGCGGAAGCACTGAACCCGCCATGCATATTACAGTCCATATCGTGCCCACTCGTGCGCTAAACAAAACTATTTTTAACTGGCAGCGAACGTGCATAAAATGTTTATATCAAAATGAGTTGTCACACGAGTGCGGATATAAAGGCAAGTAATTAAATTGATGTCCCCACGGATGAGCTGGTACTCTCTATAAATATACTCGCGTTAGAGAAATGCACTGTCTATTTTGACACAGCGTTTTCTACTTGTGAGTTGCGATAATAGTGTAAGATAAAGTGAAAAGATAAACGTTTCGAACACAGAGTAGCTGTCGATACTTGTGAAATTATAGTGAACCGAAAAGAAGCAATCCTAAATATTATCACCTCACGGTATATTGCGCGGGGTATTTTATAAAGGGTTAGCGAAATACGCGTGTGAGTGTATGTGACGATTCTTGCAATGTTTGGGAATGATAGTCTGTGCTCGTGAGGTACGTGCGGCTGCGGCATATGTCGGTATATACGAGCCGTTGCGTGCGTTCGTATAGGGACCCTAATTCGTGTTTCGATGTAAATTTGTATAACTGTGTGTGCTTATGTAGGTAAAGCCCGGCGCACACGCTGAGTTAATTTTACTCAAGTAAAATGATGCATGCGTCAAATACTCACGTGTGATCGGATTTTCGTTGAGTATTTTGACGCGGCATCATTTTACTTGAGTAAAATTACTCACGTGTGCGCCGGGCTTAAGCACGCGTGCATTTGTGTGTGCGTGTGTGCGAAAAGGCACGCCGAGGTGTGAGAGTAGTTTTTCCTCAGTGTGGCGTTCGTGCTATTTCGTGCGTTTTTCGTCGTGCTATCGTGCTATTCGTGCTATTCGTGCGATTCGTGCTATATGTATATTTGCTAAAATTAACGACTAAGAACTTGAGAAATAAATATGAAATAATAAAACATTCTTCTTCCTGTTAAATAAAATTTCATCATGATTTGTATTTAAACGTCACAGCTGTGCGGTTGCTTCTGTATAATTACAGAGAAATGTTACAGTCAGCAACAGATATTACATGTGAAAAAGATCGTTAAGGTAAGATAATAATTTAACTGGGAAAATAATTTTTTGATTGATGCTGCACTATAAATCCACAAATCCGCAAGCACACGCATATATATATATATATATATATATATATATATATATATATATATTAATTAGACACACACATCATCAATACAGGTTATTGTATATATATATACATATATATATATACATATATATATATATAATGCGCGTGCGCGACGGCTGTAGCACATTTTAACCATAGGTGAACTTGGTTACGAATGTACGAATAAAATTATACGTAACTACTCTTCGCTTGCATTTATTTACAGTTATATCTCATATCTTTACCGTTATGGTTTGCATCTACGATCATTTAATTATTACTAGATGTGATATATTTTACTCGGACTAGCTATATTACTCTAACAAAATTCAAATTTTGGATTTTTTTAACTATACTACATTTAGATCAAGTATGCGTTCTATGTAGACTATATAAATTGATTTAGATGTTGTAGGAAACAGGGATTCAATGCATGATACGCGATGGCTAGATACAATAGTCTCTTAGGCAATCCTAATAAATGCAGCAATAGATTCCGTATACACTGTATTTATGTGTTATCATTATGGGATTGATTTCATAAAACAAACATTAATGTATTCTCGTGCATTCCCAGGTCATGTTCCTAGCTGTCGATACGATCGTCATAAAAACCACATCGTAATAAAAGCATCCATGACGTTTTAAGATACATTAATGTATGTTATCACATAACATCGCATTGGAATTTGTTTCCTGATTATTAGGCAGTCAAATGACTTGTAGATTTTCCATAAAGTGCTTTGACCATAGATTATACAAGCGGGCACAATTTCAAGAGATACGGCATAACGATAAGACATCATTTCACTCTTTTGCTTCTCTCCTATGCACCTCCCTATGTCCCTCTCCTATACCCTCTGTCATCGTCGCATCACCGGTTCTCAGAGATAAATGCATTATGTGTATACGAATATGGTCTCATTTATAATTTGCGTATACACAAACATAAATGACACGGGTATGCGTCAACGGGATGAAAACAAATGAACTTAACTAACCCGAATTTAATATATATAGCTCATTTGACATCCTTTTCCAAGTGGATCAACGAATGGTATTTTCCCTACTCGTAGATATGCATGTGGACAGTCTCGTTCACATGTGGCTCTTTGTGTACCTTCGCAAGAACTGTCTCGGTTTCTTTGTAATATTTGACGTTATAGGCGTATGTGTAATGGCTTTCCAGATTGTGCAGTTTAAGACTAACCACATCTGCCTGCCTTATATCATCTGCATGAGTAGGCTCAAAATAGATATCTATCAATTATCTATAATCGAAGTAGATATTTGCTGAAAAAATGAAGGTGCTGAAAACGAAACTGGCTTAAATCGTATACAACTAGAGCCACCGGATGATTTAAACAATCCGTGATAAGAGTCATCGCGTAGACACAAATATGAAAGCCATGTCCGCATTGTTGCGAGCATCGCCTAGATGCGGTTATAATTAGACATGGCGTCATTTGCATTTTAATTTAATAATACTCTCCTCACCTTGTTGAATAATTCGGAGGACATGCATTGAGTAGTTTCTGGAGACACTATAATAATGACAAAAGTTTGAATGCGCTGTAATAATATGTTGAATTAGCAATCATATCAGGATGCTTGAGGAAATGTGTATTTTGTGTATTATATAAGTTATAATAGGTACAATTGTCCAGATAGGGCTATACCCAAATATGTCCTCATTAACTGTTTCCGTTACGAGATTTAAGTTTTGCTAACTCGTTTCTAGTTTTTTTTTAAAAGGTTGAAATTTTACGATACGCAGTCTACGTAATTACGGGAACTTAAGATATAATTAAATTTGCGGAGCTTGAATAAAAACAGGCCTCTTGTCTATCAATGCGTTGTCAATCATGTAATGAACCTTCATTGGTATTGGATGCTAGGAGTTTCGACCGTCTTGGGCTGAGTCCGTCGCGAATGGGCAATGACAACTAGAGCCACCGCCAGTGATATAAACAGAATCACTATCATTGAGCTTATCCCAGCAATAAAGTTCAATCTTGGCACGCAAACATCTCCCTTTTTCTCTGTATGTGTCACTTGTTGCCTCAGTACCTCTCCGGTTGTTTCTAAAAATCGAAGAAATAGCTCATGATAAATAATCCATGCTATATTATTCACTCCTGATATTATCTATGCGATGAAAATATGCTGGTCTATACGTGCAGAATCACTCACAATAATATTCGTATCGTAAATTAATGAGGGCAGCGCCAAAAAATTATCTGAAACAACAGGCGTACGCGTTTGAACACGTACGCCTTTTCTCGCAAATAGCAGCACTTCGTTTAATTTTGTAATATTTTTAGCACGATATATTTTCACAATGTACCCGTCTTACCGTCATAAATGATCGTTTCCACCTCGGGTACAATGACCGTGAGGCTCTGCGACATTTTCTCTTCCTCCACGGTAGATCCGGTCGTGTAGTTGTGGTTTACTCCGACGCTTACCTCCTCGACAGCTTCACGTCTAGCTCGGCGGCGATTAGTGGCTACACCCGGCACGTTGTCGCCGGGACAGATTGTCTGTCAAGTATTACAACAACTGTGGTTGCTTCCAAATATTTCACAATAGAGTGTTCCGACCAATAATTGACAGATAATGGCCGTTTTTGCAAAATGGCTTGATATTTTTGTGTAACTGCAGTAGGCCCCCAAATTAAGAGGAAATAATGAAATTTAACTGCAGTATAACATAAAATATTTTACAGTTCAGTTAATAATTAAACGAACAAAACATTATCTATAAAAATAGTATGATGGTAATAAATCGGCAGTAGGGTTAATATATTACGGCATTAATTGTATCTGAAAAGTAATATGCATATGTCGTGTGGCGATAAAGCTAACGTTTCAACATTCATTATACTAATTAATCATAATTATTAGATATGTATGTATGCTTACGGGATAACAGTGATCGAAGCAGACGCGGCATTGGCAGACGACGTAAACGTTTTCAACATCCGGGAATTTGAAGCTCTTGAAATGGGCGAACACGTGCGTCTGTTCTCTAACTAGCTGATCGCTCCTCTGCGTATGTCCGATAACCTTCTGGTGAGCGGGGCACCTACGAGAATACAACCCGTATTAAAGACATACGAATACGCCTTTTACGCGATGCATTGCAGTGATGAGAAATTTCACACTGATCATAGCTAAGTAACTCGTTCTGTCGGGATTCGCGTTGAAGACGGCACACGCCTTTCGGCAATTACTCTTACTCGGCATAACGGAAGCGTCTTGTGTGTTAAAATTGCTGATTTATATTGTGTGCGCATATTTGTAGACATTTTGTAAAACTGTAAATTCGTCAACGAAAAAAATTGCATGTTTACTATCAAAACGAAACGGCACGAGAGCTCAACTCGCCGATTACTTACTTACTCACTCACTCACACATTCATCAACTCACTTACTCACTCACTCACTCACTCACTCACTTACTCACTTACCTACCTCTATTGTACAGCCTACTTACCCGGCATTATCAATAAGCTCGAGTCGAGACATCTGCATGCCGTCGTGGGCGTAGCAGTCAAACACGGATAAATCAAACTGACCTGCAACAAATAGAAAGGTTAGTTTACCCCATGGGTTCTTCTTATTATAGAATTAACCCGCGGATTAAATGAGAGGCAGGGACACGTCAGTTGGTAGTTGTCCTAACAACAGTAGTCGGCGTCGTCATGCAACACATTATTCTCGTTTCAAACATCATGAATTACCGTCGCTCAACTAATTACAAAGAGAGATCTACCGAAAGACCAATGTTGCCGCGGGCTCTGGCATACCAACTTATGTGGCCGCACCTACGTCAATATAGAACTCGCCTTTGTTTTCGATCCAAAAGACAAGCGTGGCTATGGAACCGAGTTCGAGAACTGAAATTCCGCCCGAGAGTGGGTTCCTTCCAGAGATGATCTTCATGTTGCATCGTGTGAACTGGATGGAAGGTGCCGTGACGGATATCGGTGGAATCAGACTGAAGTAGGTGAGACACGTTAGCACGTGTTAATAGAACACTGTGTGCGAAACTTAGAGTAACTAGGTCATTTTCTTGAAGCGTTTACAACTTTGCGTAAAGTAATCCGACTTTACATGAATTCAATGACAATTTTACAAGCGCAGTAGAGCATTATACTATTTACACGGCTCGCGTAGAGTAATCCGCTATGAAAAAGCAATCGGATTCTGGTAGACACATCTGGTCATTCTGACATGAATGGATATAATAGTGACTATTTCAACTAAAATAACTGTCCCAGTGAAAAGATCTGTGCGGCAGATCATGTCAATATTAACCTACTTGATACGTGATGTATGTTTGTTCACTCTATTGTTGAAACGCGATTATTGTCCCGATAAATACCCTTCTACATAATCATGTTGAAAGAAATACGAAAGAATGCACATAATTAAATGAATGTGCGCGCGCGGTTTTCTATACTTCAAACATCCTACTACTGCCTTTTCTTACTTTCAAGATAGTTAGACCTACAGCTAACATTCCTAAAAGCACAATTATTACCATTGCATTTTCACCGAGTTGTCGTCAGAAATGGCCAGCTCTCTCGTCGAACGGGGCTCGACATACGATAACGCTACGTTGGAAGAGGCTACCGGTAGTCTGCACGTGTACTTACGGCACTTCGTAGTTGTAGCGCAACGTGTCGACGCTGGTTCCGCCGAATCGGCACGACACGTCGTATGCCCTGTCGCCCATCTCCAGGATGCCCCATGCGAACTCATTCATCACAACGATCGTGTTGTTGTAGTAGCGTATCGCCTCGTAGCCTTCACCCTAGCAGTACGCACGCAGTACGCACGCGTCGTTAGTCACCTAGCTTAAAGCCTAGCGCACACACCCGAGCAAAACGGGAAATTTTGTTTTCCAGCGTTTCGCCTTCTGCTCGGCGAGCAAGCGCACACACGCCACCCGACACAGCACACAGCTGAGCAAAACATACAGAAACACTGCGTACAGCGCCGCTGTCACATGACATCAAAAATAACCATTCAATGGACATCCAATTTTGTGTGTCATGTGATATTTTTAAGGATATTGATTGGAGACCGTCTGTGGCGTTTCGCTGTGTAGCAGAACGATTGACGCACACACCCGAGCAAAACGTACGCTCAGGCGAAAACACGCTCCGCGAATCAAACATTGCTTGTTCAGCGAAACACGATCAGCTGAGCAATGTTTTTGGTTTCGGGAATCCGCACACGGCCACGAACATCGAGCGAAACACGTTTTGCTCCACGTTCAGGTGTTTTGCTCGGGTGTGTGCGTTATGCTTAAGCCTAGCGCACACACCCGAGCAAAACACCCTCACAAAATTTCCCGTTTTGCTCGGGTGTGTGCGCTAGGCATTAACGACCGCGCGCTAAAGTCGCGTCATTAGAATGACAGCGGTTAAACCGGAGCGGTCAAACTCGCGCAACGCGATCGCAAGATGCAGTTTTGCGCGTGTTTTATTAAGTGGGCGACGCCATGGTAAACAGAACAGTACATAAATAGCTCATTCTGACGGAAATTGCCGTCTTAACGCTGCGTTCGGTACAAGTGCACGATTATCGTGTTAGTATATCGGAGATGGGCAGATGAATCGGGGGGTTTAACTTCGGCGCGACTACATCGTTGATTTCAGACAGTAGCTAACCCAACAGAGCCCTCTGCTGTACACTAATCCATCTGTGCGCGAAAGCGCGCACGCGCACCTCTAAGCACACAATTATCCAATTCTATGCACTATTCATCTCTACGCGCAACGCGTTTATGCGCCTGGCGTCATGGCCTTTTTTCGCCTGGCGCGTGCGACAGTACGCCAGCTTTCGAGGGCTCACCACAAGACTCTCGCCTGTTCCGCAGCTATCCAGCGCCATACTGAGGATCACTTGGTTACTTTGTGGAAGCGCAGCCTGTCGGCAGGATTCGCTCTTGAACTGACCGCGGGCGAACAGCGCTCCTTCGAATGGTCTCTCGAAGAGGACGCTGATCTGCATCCTATACTCATTCAGGTCGCACCTTACTTGGATGTCTGAACGGATTAATTACACGCGTTAAACATATGCGCACCTCTCCAGTGTACGTTTCACGGTATTATGCACTGCTAGCTTTTGCCTGGTTCCTCAGTTTATGTAACCCTATATGGAGGCGTAAGCTTCAAACATGCATGTATCAGACATGTATCAAAACCACGATTTCAACTCTTGAAAACCCCATCACACATACTAATAACTTCATGGCGAAATAGGTTTTAATGTACTGTTGATAATATAGCAATAATAATACAATTTTTAACAGACTCAAACCTTCCACTGTTTACTTACCGCGCCCTTCGTTTACTTACCACTAATAGTATCTAGTAATCAACATAATTGCTCAAACCTTTGTTATATGAGATGGAGGTATATCTATCGAAAATGTTTCATTACCTACAACATTGTTCATTGGTCTGATCATAGGCAGGTAATCTTCCGGTCTTCGAAAAGGAGCTTGTGGCCGTTCCCCTAAACTGTATCCCGGCTGAGCCGCGGCCATCCCCACCTACAGGTAAACAAACAACAAAATGGAATTTTGATCATTATTTTTACAGAACTTGGTTTACTGCTATCAGTGTAGGTCCATGTCATGCAAAGATAATTTATCAACCGATCTCGTCCCGTTCTGCACGCATAGATCCATTTAGAAAAGATTAGGCCTATTAGTGACTTTGGGCAGTTTGATTCTTAATGACAATAATCAGTGATAATACTATAATATAATAATTATATATAACAATAAAATATCATATAAATAAATAAATAAATAAATAAATAAATATATATATATATATATATATCCAAACGATAAATAATATTGCATCGGCACTGTGGCGTATCGTCGCTCTGTTTAATGGGTTCTGTGAGGTAACAATAATGCATCTTTATTGAATGAGCACAGGATATTCATGTATTATATTCCTAAATGACCTTCATCAGTCCCGCAGAGGTGCGAGCATTATTTATAAGCTGTGCATGCGCTCAGCTATTATCCACGTAGGCGTCATAATAGCGCTCTATTCGCTCTCACTTGCCTGTGTCGATAAAAAATACGGTCCACCACTTAAAGGAATTTTATGAGGGCGTTTTTTTTAAACGTCGACAAAAATGCGCACACGCCCATATACGTTACATCCAAGTTTGTATCGCCTTGTCGAGTCCGCCCAACAGCTGCACGCTCGCTAATCTTAGCATTGTGTTTCCACTGTTGTGCCAGGAGTGACCGTGACAGTAGACGTGTATTATTGCAACCCCGGTGTATTTACGTATGTAGAGGTCTACAGTCTTTGTCGCCGATGTCGGTGAAAAAAAGTGTGTCAACCGGCCGCGTTGAACTTGAAGAGTCGCTATCTGTTCTCATGACAGAATGGAAACGAACGAGTAGATATACGTCAGTGCCAATCGCGCCTTATATCCGCTGCGTTGCCTCCAACTATCTACCGAATCCAAAATCAGGAAACATGCATGACAGATTTTGAAAGCAAACTGGCCAGACACGAGTTTCACTTCACATGTAGCTGCTTGACATAATGGGTATCGACAAGTAGACTCGCTTCACTGCTTTATACGAATTGATACAAAACGTAAATCCCCGATATAGACTACGATTCTATATTTTTTTGACATTTGACATAAATTCGCAGAGAAAAAATTTACCGCCCTTCTCGGGCGGATGACTGTAACAATCGTGAAAGACTTCTAGTGCGCCACGTTAGAATCACTCGCTGCTTCGAGTGTGACAGGAAACAGCTGATTCAATGAGCGAATCCTGAAGTCGTCGTTATAATTTATCCTAATAACCCCGTAAGGCAGATTATTTCGTACGGCCTGGCCTTGCAAAGTATGCCTATATCTTTAAAGGCAGGATAAATGACGAGGCCAAAAGGTTTATGTGTGTGTACCATGATTGCACAGTAGTGATGCGCGTGATAGAACGAGTAGCCGTCCGTCTATCTGCCAACCGGCATGCTTACCCGCGTTTACGCACATAACGCAGATCCTGTGGAGGTTAATGTGTTTAAAATTTCGCTTGCTATGCTAGACAAGTGCTTTATCAGACGTTACTGTGTAAGTACTAAAATATCCACACAGTTTGCGACAAATTTCCAACTGTGAAGATACTTGGGGGCAGGATTTATTTTGCTCTGGTTGCAACCAAGCCACGCAGCTTACCGCACGAACTGTTTCATTTCATAGCTTTGCTTTCAGTTGCTTGACAGAAATTCGTTATTATACGTGAGAAGTATATTTTATGAAATGAGAAATTTATATAAAACTTCTATAACATATCAATAATTACACACAAATTCCGGAACACAGAGAAAATGATTAAAAAGAAGACGAATAAGACACGCTGGAAGAGGAGGAGGATTCATTCATTTCATATACCTTCGCATTTAGTTTAATCTAGCATGTTATATTCTTGGTTGCGCGGAGCTCTACAGCTACTGAATTATTCCCCAACTGCTGGGCTACCATCTACGTAAACGAACATGCAGTGAGCCTGGCAGGTATGTTTGCTGAACGTTTTACTGGTCAGCTCTATCAGCGTGGGATTAATTCTATTCGAAACCTGCTGCTGCTCTTATTTAAACGAAGGGCAATGTTTAAACTCTCAACGCAAGGTCTTTAGCCCCGTGCAAAAATTGCAGTGAGAATGATATATTCAAGCAATGTTTTGTTTATATAACTCTACCTTCACGCGTTCTTTTCGTTCGATCAACTATCGAGCTATAGGCCTACATCACTACTCACATATATGCTGGGTGCATATTAAATATATTTTACGTATTCACATGTATTACAATTATCATTATGCATTATAGCAAACGTACGCAGTTTTTATATCGATAGTATTAAAGTTCATCTAATATCGCATTTAATCAAGACATCCTATATTTGGCTGCCCGACAGTTGCTACATTTCTCGGTTTATAATCGGCTGATATGATAGCAACACGCGTCTATTTTTACATGAAATGAGCATGTTAGGTCGATATTAGCCTACATTATTTAACTACATTCCGCTGTCAGTTTAATTCGAATGACTGGGACGTCTAAGAAAGTCCGGCATGTGTGTCAGAGAATAAGAGTCTCTTGCATAAATAGACGTCCGATATAATTCCTATTGTAATCAAACATTTCTATACGCAGAATTATTCAAAAATACCTTTTTGATAATTAGTTAGTGTAACAGTAGCAGTTAAGGACACCAAGATTCAGAGCTGACCGCGTTACCGTCGGTTTACCCTATCGTCGTATGTCATTATAGCAAATACAGAGATTCTGAAACCGCGAGCACTATACTATAATTATTTGGCAAACGTCCCTTTGTGCTCCACACACAAACGTTATAATTCAAGCGCCACACGCAGGCACAAATATACGTGCAGTCATACACGCATGCAAGCGCATATATATGTACTCGCACACGCATATATACGCACGCATGCGCTTGCACACACATACATGTACAACCAAACACACCGCGCGCGCACACACACATGCACGCACGCACGCACGCACGCACGCACGCACGTACGCACGCACACACGTACACACCCGGAGACACACACGCACGCACAAACTCGCACGCACGGGCACACACGCACCCACACGCGCGCGTACACGCGTGCACGCACGCACGCACGCACATATGCGCACGCAGTATATATAGGCGACACGTAAACTCACGTACAGATTTTTACTTATGTTGCTATAATTCCTTCTCCCTACCATTACCTGCGATTCCTGCCCCAGCTTAATTGTCTATAGTTAATGATATACTGGTCTAATGGACTAATGTTTCTTATTAATTCCTATTGTGAAACTATTGCGAAGCGACACTTTTTGTCACAGCGTCGAGTTTCCTCAAGAATACAAGCAACCCCCATCGATATGACACATTTTCTTGTTTTTCTCCATGCGCTCCCTCCCGAGTTTGTAGAGGTTCGGAGATCGTATCACGTCTTCCCATTGTGTCTATGATTCGAGAGATTATTAGCAGAGATGGACCCAGTCAACCGGGCTTTTCATCCTTTGATGTTTGTTCGATCGATTTACCTCGGGCAATAGTTAAATATTTTTACTTCTTCGGCAGCATCGTGTAAGCGCTCGACTTTGGCTTGAAATGAATACATTTAAGGGAGTTTTTAAGCCTCAACTTCGCCCACAGCAAGGTCATGCGAGTCACGTGACTAACGTTCCTGCAGCTCATTGAAATCCTGTCAGACTGACAGTATCTGCTAATATTATGTGTTACTCATATCAAGCTTATTTATTAGCATCATTGTGGGCACCGCTAAACGTTCAATCGTTCGAGTTTTATCACACTTTCAAAATCACATCTATCACACCAATCGCAAAGAAAGTGCCACACAGCGGCACATTTCTATTTCGCTCATGTATAAAAATAACCAGGTTAATCTGCGGATGTGAGTAAACCCTATCGCCGATATCGCGCCGCTTTCAGTTTCGCGGAGGAATGCGTTTTCGCTACAAAGTCCTACATTCGGGGGACATTATCCTTAGTGTATGGACGGGTAGCTAATGGGTGTAGCATAGTAGTATTATTAGTATGGGAGTATTACAATGATTTTCGTCCGCACGCTATTCAGATAACGAACTAGATAGCATACGCTGTATTCTGAACGGATCATTAAGTTTAGGCGAAACGGGAACTCGACTACTGAGAGGAACTGAAACGAGACGGAGCCATGACGTGTGAAATTCCTGATAATCCTGTATTTATTGCTGATTTTTATCATATTATGTAGAACAATCCGCCACGTGAATTCTCTCACATTCATGAACAGAATGATATTTGGAAAATACAACGCCATGCACCTTATTTTCACAGCGATGCGAATCTCGAGAGATGTTCGATGAGATATCTATGCGATATCATAATAACGCAACAAGAGCAGGGGTAAAAACGATTAAAGCATTATCATCGAAGTTCGAAACGTTAAAGAGTGATCATGTTAATAGTTTTCTGTCCTGTAACGTATATTTGTGCTACCTAAACGCGATACTTAAGAAATCACAACTTCAGAGAGGCTTACTCAGCTGGTAAGATTGCTAAAAGATGTCATTTGATTTCTTCATTTGATTTCTTCATAATATAAAAAAAAATAGTTAGACGACGCTTGCCTCATGTGAATGTATATATACCTAAAAGAAGATTAACGTATAACTTGTCACATAAGATGAACAAATTATGTTAATACGTTAAATAATCTTAGACAATATGAGTGTAGATTTCGCTTAATCAATTTCCGTGCATTTAAAGTGAAATATGTCACTACAACTCCATAAGAGATGTTATTCGAACGTTCTTTTAATACATTCCGTACATTTACAAATGACGTGACCAGTTTTGCATTTTATGAGTGCTACACATGGGCGAGTCAATAATGCGCATACCTCAGGTAAGCGCTTATGAAGAACAATGGTAATTAGTATATAAATACCGTGTCTGTACACAAGTGCTAACACACGTGCCGATGCGCGCACGTGCGCAGTCACTTTTAACTGCACGATCGCAGTAGCTGAGTGTGTGACGACACATCGCGAAATTAAACCACGGAGGCAATTTCAACGGAGGAAGCAGCATGCTGTTGTTGATAGCAATACCTATTCTATTTCCGTAAAAACCGATAGATAGTAACACCCTGTTGATTATATTAACAATTATTCACGCGATAATGTATTTGCAATCGATTCACTTGCTTCTTGCGCGTGCTAGGAGATAACAAGCATTACGGGTACTCACCAAGCAGAGGAAGACGGCTAACTTCATTATCACGTTCCTGAAAAATATAATAAAGTTGTCACACAATGTCATCTTCGCATCTGACTGTTAGGCGTTCGTCGTTTGCGTATGCATTCTACGGTACACTTAAGTCATTATCACGAGTTATATAACGCATCTTTGCGACCAAGTAGATCTTCTATGGTTTGTTTACCTTATACAGCTATCTATACAGCTATATGTGAGCTAAGAGCTGATCGAGTCGACTACTAGAGAAACCACTAGTCCAATGTTGAATAGACATGTGTTTGACATCGCTCGCCTTAAATACGGCCCGTGACGTCACGATGTCCCACATTGACTACTGACCCACATACGCTAGCGGGCGCGCACGTACGCCGACGCGCAGCGAAGTTTCTGAAATTTATGCAAAATCATTATTTGGCCCAGATTTCTTTTCGAACGCATCGGCTAATGTTTGTCATTGATTGGTTCGGGAGCCGGCATCATCAAATGCTCTGTGAGTGTAATGGACAGGAATTAATTGACCTTTAGTGGCGACAGATTTATACCTCGAGTCGCAATTTGCTCTAGGTTATGTTTCACATATTTTGCGCCCACCGAAAGATCGGGTTACTAGTTGAAAGCTTAAGGGCCTACTTTAACGGTTCTAAAAGGTGGCTGAGAGAATTAACTAGAGGACACCTGTATAGGCGATTCTGGGCAGAAACCTGCAGGATAGCATCGAGCAATCTCAGAGAAGGCACTCTATTGTGAGAATCATTTCAGGAAACGCCTAGCGGATTATTCGCTGGAGTCTATAATGCACTGCGCCATTGCCCGAGGCGACCACCCATGTTCGCACATGTTGCGTTGATGGCTGGTGACAATTTCTTAACGGTATGCCAGCTAAATGAGCGAGCAGCGCACGCCGACAGGTAATGATGCATGTAGTTAACAAGGCCAAGAGCTTGTTAGTTCCGTAGCTTGAATAAAACTGACAGCGTCGCCCACAACACAACACGTTTGATACAATAGCGGCAACATTGGGAACAAATCATTGTCAACCGATGTGTCCTTCAATGTCGACACTGATGAGTTGATTATCGCGTTAATAGCATGTAGTGCTTACACGGACGATTGTCTTGCTGAACGAGAGTACAGTTCATCGTCTTGCGCCGCGAACGTTTTTCAAAGATTAATCATCAGCCGTTATCATCAAACAGTGTAGATTATTAAGTAAGTAACATTATCATTTATATGATATCATTGATAAAATGAGAGTTTGGAATTTCAGACAGTTTCATTGGTTGCATCAAGAGTCCATAATAGAACATTTGTATAATAGAACGTGTATGCAGTTGAGTGGTGTGCATGCGGATCTTGGGTTATAAGATTACCTTTCAATTGTCAGTTGGCATAAAACATCTATTAGCGCCCGCCTAGCATTCTGCAATGCAACATAAACCTAATCTGTGGATACAGGTAAAACTGGCAGAGTTAACATTCTCGCCATTAGACGATCTGCAAAAAATACGCGCGTGTTTAAAATCACTGACGTCTGCAAGAGAAGGTAAACAAGAAAAACAACATTTCCTGATGATAATACAATTTTGCTATTATATTGCACTTATATGCGATATTGAAAATATAAAGTCCATGTAATAAAATCGGCACAATTGATGTGTTACAATCTGTATGCTGCATACGTTTATGTATAGTCTTCTTATACTAACACGTGCCTTTGTGCGTAACATTATCGAAGATGATAAACGGGAATAATCTTTCGAGTAAAAGAACTCAAATGAAAAGCACTCTGCTTCGAATCGTAAAAGAAATGTAACAGTAACGTGTATATTACATGCAACAACAATATGCACAATGCTATAGTGCATTTGTGAATTTTAAAACAACAGCCTTAATGTTTTAACTTTGATTTCAAACGTTACATAATTTTAACGTTTTCATATTATAAAATAATGCGTATGGCAGCATATTATGTCACGTATGAGCTTACATGCGCGCGTACGTGCGTGCATATACGTGCGTGCGAGCGCGTGTGTATGTAGGCGTTTTTCTGTACGGTCCATGAGGTGTTATAGTTCACATGAGCCTCCAGGCTTGTTGGTGTCATTCCCAGAAGTTCCCTTTATATGGGATAATATCTGTCCACCCATCCGAAAGATAAACTCCTGCATGGGTGTAACCGTAGCTAAGGTATGTGTCATTGTCTACCCCCATGACCTTCTCTCACGGTTCGCCGGTGAGGGTAACAAGAGTAGTAGCAGCAAACTGATGCTCATAATAATCGATATATACACACACACATATAATTATATATATATATATATACATATACCTATATATACATATATAATTATATATGTTTATTTATTTATTTATAATCATTATCAAACTTGGTTTTTCTCGACGCACGTTTATGTGGCTAGAAATTTACAGCCGAAGGAGAGAGAAGTGGGTAAAGCCGTCTGGACAGTCAATGAATTTGCGATTTGGTCGAGCTACTGCTCTGTATCGGCAGGGATACGTTGGCCGCATTAGTCACACTAGTGAGAAACGCTAGTTCCTAATGTGTAAAAAGACCTTCCAGATTTGGGTGGTGGCTAAAGTCCTTGCGGAACTGCGCTGACAGCAGCACAAAGCTCCCATTGGAAGAAAGAATCCTGTTATTTTTGCGTGCAAGATACACCTGTTTGAATCAACATTGACAAACGACAGGGCGTGTGCGCATCTAGCGGTGTTTGAGGCACGAATCGCATGCAGCAGAAGAAAGAATGCCTTCTCTGTGGACATAACGCATCTTCGCGCTAGAACCGTCCTTCGCGTTACGCCGGCGGGAATTCCTAAAGTCATCACGCATGCGCGCCAAGCGAAGTCAAGGAGTATAATCGAGGGTGTGTTTTTTTCGTGCGCCCACTCGTCTTTGTCACGGATCACTTTCACTCTTTAACTCGAGTAGGTCGCTTCGCAGCCACCATAAACTCTCATTTAGCAGCATTCTGGCACCTAGCTTGCAATAATTATGTTCACTTCGCAGGTGAAGGTTGGACAAGCGTTGTCCTGCAACCGATTAGGCCGAGTGATTAAGAGCATGTACACAATTGTGTTGACGTTTAGGAAAGACACTCCCGGTTATAAACGTCAAATTAAGCATGTCTCTAGGTTTTCCACATGTGTAATGACATCAGGTACTGTAGTGATAGCGCGCTATACCAAACTCGGTTAAACGTGTCAATGCTCGCTCTCTCGCCGCGCGTTGTGTCCGTGTTCGATCTAGCAAGCAGTTGTCATAGCAAAGAACGCCTGCGATTATGCAGTAGTTTCTCAGATTACTATGAGTTGTTCGTTTGAGCATATCAACGCGTGAAACGTCTATCACTACCATTAAACTCAGTTAATCTTATTTATCTGACAGAATTTAAAGGCTGAAAAGCTTCACATCTTCGCAAGGAATAACTCTTCTTTTCAACTAGCACAACACACTAACTAAATGCAAGACCATAATAATACTTGACAGCTCAAATGGACCGGAATCTTTGATGTTTTGTGAGTTGGAACAGCGTTTAGTTTACTGGCTGATGTCGGTACAACAAACAGCGGTTATTCAGGAAAAACCTTTTCGACGTTTTCATGGACCTCCAAGGTTGATCGTAACTTAACTAACTGCTAACAAGGCTAGAACACGTTTTGACAAAGATATCTACAACCCAGTTATGTTGATTTACGTATCAATCGTGGTTCGTTACTTATCGTTAGGTATATCCCCTGGTCGCCTACTATTTTATTAATCATATTTACCTGTTATATAAGTTGCTCTTTCTATAGATTACGACGCTTACACTCTAAATTAAGTCAAACTTCCTGCAATTAAAAATCTAAATTTATAGAAAGTATTTTAGAAGCGTAAATATGCGTGGAATCTTATCTGTTCACTTATAGCAAACTTTTTTCCCGTTTATTTTCACAATATTCTCTAGTACTTATGGAAACCCGCGGGGTTCAAAAAACAGGTTTCCACAGCACCTTGGTGCCTTGGCGACATGTGCACATGACCTTAATCTTACACGAACACCCCCAGAAAAATACAGCGGGGAGGGAGGCAGACGAGTGAAATGCAGTTGGAATAAATGGAGCGAAAATTCGAGACATATGCGAGTTTACAGTCATGGTCAATAGACATTTTAGAATCATAATTGTCATCAACGGAAATCAGCTCTTTTAACTTATTTCGTCCAAGCGTCGCCGAAATAAAAGCAGCTCTTTTCATTCATATCGTCCAAGCGTTGCCGAAGTAAACCCGATCATAATATTATGGGCTTTCCGGCTAAACGCAACCGACCTTCGCTGCGGTGCGTTGTTGCTCTTGGGTGGCGATGTGTACACACGCTTGCGATGCTAAAGCAGGTTTGTTTTACGCTGCTAGCCGAAAGCGAAAGTATACCCGTTGGAACTAGATCATTTTAACACGGCGTGTTTAAACAGTGTGATTTGTATGGTAACGAATGACTGTCCGAATACTTAGTTACAGTATAGTGTCAGTAGCATTGGCAGTTTATCAACGTGACGACATTGCTGCAATGCAGACTAAGCACGAAGCATATACCGTCCGTTTAGTTTTTTTAGATTCCAACTCCCGCATAATAACTGCTGGTTACGGGTGTACTTCACAGCCGTGTAGCGCAAATAGCGAGGTACCCCATATTTTCGACATATAACATTCTGCATGGTTAGTAGGCCTACGCATAAAATTATAGACCTCCGGCGATATAGCTAACCGCATTTTATTCGCGTACAAACTGCGCACAGATTATGTAACAGACAATGTATTTGCGTTCAATGCCGCAATGCTTAAATTTTATGGTTAAAATTGTGGTATGCACTTTACGCACAGCGTAATGCGATATCCGAGAAGGGAAACTGTCTATATAGGTTCGGTTTGTAACGTTAAAGTGATTACGTTGAATGTTTGTTTTTATAGATCGGATTGATCAGATATAAATAGCGGCAATAAGATTAGAAACAAACAAAAAAAGTAAAAAGCCGAACAACAATAGACCAGCAGAACAATAGATCGATTTAACTATAGAACTATAGAACTACATAACAATAGATAACTAAAACAATAGCGCCATTTATGTATATATATAGGTTATAGTATGTATATAAGGTTTATTCTTCATTAAAGTCTGTCTGATGATCGCGTAGGCGTGAAACTCGGAGTAACAGCTAAAAGTGATGTCTTGTCTTTTATCTACATACTACAATTTATATATATATATATTGTAAATATTATCTATATATATATATATATATATATATATATATATCTATATATATATATATATATATATATATAGAAGTAAAATTACACACGAACACCCATGTAGATGAAAAATAAATTCAAATAATAGGTTAAAGGTGTCAGCTAAAGACCTGATGAAGAGATGTACATCTCGAAAGCTCGTTCATTAAATTTTAAACACCCGTAATTAACCTATTATTTAAATTTGTTTTTTATGTATATAATATATATATATATAAGCTTAATAACCTCACTTTATGAGTGCTGAGACCTTACAGGCAGCGACTGTGAGTGCATACTTTCGTATAAATGAAACGGATCTCTAATGCAGTCATTATTCTGTGTAGATTGCTAAGGTACTATAATGATAAGTCAGTAAAGCGAGTATACTGACAACTGAGTAATCCCTTTCCCCTACTTTCTTCATGCCCGCCCACAAACAACAATGCCGCGACGGTTTGGCAACGTCAGTCAGCATAATATGCAATTTAAAACCGAAGAGGAATTAACACAAGCTTCCTATCTCTAGACCTCATTCACGAATATCTGCTCGGAATGAAGTTGGTCTGAAATTCGTAGTCTTAGTTTCGATTGGCAAATATTGCAATATCTCTAGTCTTCCGCGTACTCTAATGAACACTTGTAAACGCAATGTCGAAGATAAAACCGTCTCGGTTGTAAAACCGAATAACGTTCATGCACCAAATATCATCAGATTTGTGTTTAGTATCATGAATAGTTAGATGATTGTAACGTAATATATAATTATATTTACGCAATTAAAATAAACAGCGGCAATACAATAAATGTTCGTAAAAATTTGATTCAATTCATTTGTATCATTGTGGCTATAATTTATACCATACCAAGGCTACAGATAGTATTCTATAGCTTTGCATGTGAATTCAACAGAGTCTATATCTGCTAGCAGTAACGTATCTAACTAGGGTATTATATGAATGCTATATAATCATGCCATAATGCATAATGGTCGATTATTGTAAATTAACAATTTATTTGAGTTCGCGCTTAGCTCACTGTCGCTACATTTCACCACGTACATGTCTATAAGCTGTATCTACGCTATGAAAAATCTAACGGTCTATAGCCTTACATAAAGGTAAACCTCGGATTTTTATGCCTGGGTTGTTCCTGCGAATTAGTAACTACAGCCCTGTTATGCCATTGCCGTGACAGACGTATGTCCGAAATGATATAGTCTACGTACACATATGACAGGTGAATGGTTTAATGTTAAACATGCTAATCACTTCTCTTACGCGTGCTTATTAAATCTTATCTAATTGCAATTCACACGGTGTGAAATGAATGACCTTGGCGATTTCAGTGTAGTTGGTGACAGGTTAAATTAAAACGTGAACATGCGCTTTTGGAGGTCAAGCAGTAGCTCAGACATAGTATATATGTTTGTCTGTATAGAGTTCTCTCCCGTGTTTCTGTGTGGAGACGATAAATAGACACTTGTGGCCTCTTCCTCGAGACAGCTTGGCAGGTGAGTATTAAGTGCCACTTATCCTGTGACAGATGGCTTTTCCTGGGAATCCATAGACGCGTCACCTATTTGTGACCTTCAGGTAAATCCGCCCATATTAGTACACGTTAACTATTAGGAAACCCCTTTACATTTTGGTACGACATGAATTGATTCTCCGATATATTGAATATGTCAAGGCTGTATCGTATGTTACACGAGAAACGTCAAAATGGATATAGGTTTTTAAAAACGTTTAGGTTAGTCGGTTTTCCTATAAAGTCTTATTTATTAGGCTATTCGGCTTTAGTTTGGTCTTGTTCATAACTAGATTGCCGTGAGCAATGTTTATTCCAATATTTCACGTTACTAAGTATAAGCCGCATAAACGTCGTAAATTTCACTTAGAGGTTACGTGCGTGTGTTCGCACGTTCTTAGTACTTGTCAAACGAAATATAGTTAATGTATTACGGCAGTATATAATACATATACACATACGTGTATTCACATACACACACGCACGTACGCGCGCACGTACGCATGCACACACGCACGCACGCACGCACGCACGTACGCACACAACACACACATGCACACACACACGCACGCACGCACACGCACGCACACACGCGCGCGTACACACACACACACACACACATGATTGATGTCATTGCTGGTTGATCTTATACCCGCCGTGTGTGAAGTGCCTGTGATGGCGCAGGCTCCCTATTTTCCAAATGAACTATTATTTGGTTGACTTGCAATAATAAAAGAGAGCATATATGCATTTTGATACGAAAGATGTCAATCTCCGTGTTTTACTTTAATAATTATGAACACATAATTTTCGGTATTTTATCAATGTTATATTATATGGTAAGAGCAATATGGGTTCGTACATGCTCGGAATCTGTAAAGCGACATGATATATGATTGACATACATAATCAAGAGTAAAATTATATGCGTTGTTATCATACTGCAGTCTCCTAATTTAATGCCGTGATATTCACTGGTAGAAAATATCTATTTTAATAATCATAAGGTGCCCGATTTTCCAGAATTTTCGCCAGAATCACAGAGTAGTCAATTAGTGAGTAGCAACCAAGGAAGGTGCCAGTGTTGAAATTATTTCAAATATTTAAAATGAATGTACACGAATGTATGTTTATTGATATATAATGTATACGATTGTTGGACATAGCAATTCATAAGGTTGGAGTTATACCATCTGCGTGTGACGAGCCGATCTAGTAAATTATAAAACCAGACAGTAATCATCTGGACCAATTGCCTGAACGGGCGTAACCAGACTAAAACGATAAATACGTGCTTATGTACGTCAGGTCGATGTCGGGCATCATTTCTAGGCTCACTTCCCGGTGTTCCTGATTCAACCCAAATGATCTAAAGGATTCCGTGTGAGGAAGTGAACTCCGTCATACACGACTGGTAGTGTATATTAAAATACTGATAGTTATACACCTATAGCTTATCGCATGAGCATACGCGATTGGCGTAGACGTTGCATAAGTGTAGGAAAGTTTTTTGTCACTGTCGTGTAGTCTACGGTACGGTACGGTAGTGACGGTACGTAGTACGGTACGGTACGGTACGGTCGTGTAGTGTACGGTACGGTACTGTAGTGGTGTTACGGTACGGTGAGTGTACGTCAGTGATGATCAAAGACGTCGAGTAAAATGTAGATAGGTTTATTGTAGTATATATATTTTACGACATACATATATAAGCGCAACCTACAGACTCGATCAGAACCACGGGCCTCTTGCGTCACCTTCCTTTATAGGGAAGACCTCTCTCTCTCTCTCTCTCTCTCTCTCTCTCTCTCTCTCTCTCTCTTTCTCTCTCTCTCTCTCTCTCTCTTTCTCTCACACAC